CGTAGTTGTTCAATAATGAAATTCATCCTCAAAAATACAACTTGCCTAATTGTGCACGCAGTGTAGTCACAGAAAGTAATAGAATCCCTGACTACCTTGTATCATTAATTACACTGTAAATAACCATATCACATTCTTTCAAATAGTAGGACTGTGCCAGTATTCAAAGAGGTGCTTTCCTTCAACAGAGCTCCAAGCAAAGCACTTCTTTGAAGGTGCTTCATGTTCCTTTACTGCAGTTTGCTTTGCAAAGCTTTCTGTCAGTACCATGAGGACGAACTGTTCGTGACCTTCAACCCGCTTGCCAAAAGCTTTGGAAATGCTGCTGAAGAAGCAGCATATCAGCTTTTGTGAGTGCTGTGAAGGATGTCCCTGGCATGCCTTGCTCCAAGCTTTGGTGAGCCATACTAGAGAACATCCATCTCCATTGTGACCTGGCTCTAGCCCAAAGCATCTTCTGCCCAGATGCAGTGCCTGGACAGAAGCTTCTTCTGGCTTTGGGAAGTGACAGGCAGGAGACAGTGAGAAGATTTGAGGCAATACAAAATGCTTCAGTGAAACAAATATTTGCTTTGATGAAAATAATCAGGTGGCCTCTTTAACAGGAATCTTTTTGTTTAAATGAATCTAGGCCACCTTGCATAGGGCTACTAAATAGTGTTATGTCACACTGCTCTATTTTTACAATGTTTTATCAAAACCTTGCATAACTGTAATAAAATAACTTGAAAAAGAAAAGGGTTTTTTTTATCCTGATTTCTTCAGAAGTCTAAGCCCTACTGCCAAATCTGTGATTACTCAAAGTATGTAAAAAAGGTTGGGTGTCTGCAATTGTTACCTAAAGATAGCTGGTAAGAATGTATACGTAAAAAAGGCAAGAGAACATCTTTGCATGCGCCTTCAAAAACGACTATTTTACACACAATAGGCAGCTCATACTGATGACCATTCTAGACTGAATTGTCATATATAACCTTGAATGAAAGGGCCAACCTTGAGACAAGAATTAAAATAAATCAGTTCTCCCATGATTTCTTCATGGATGGATTTCTAGTAGGATAGAAATGTGTAAGAAAGAGTATAAAATAGATTGAATTACATCAAGAATGAAATTTAGAATATCTAAGTCTACTGAAAAACTCATTTGCAATGAACACTGAAATGAGCCCTAAGACTTTTCAGTACTATAAAGTCAGCCATCAATTCCCATAAAGATTTGCAGTATAATCGAGATTCTAGAACCAGGATAAAATTGAAATCCTGTTGAGATTCAGAGTCTCAGCAATAAATTACAACCATGCTACTTTCATTGATTCTTTCTACAATATAACTAGTTAAAAGGAAACACGCTAAAGAGAAATAGGGTGATTAACATGTCTGTATTTTTAAAAACCATTTTTTGTTCAATTTGATG